AGCCATAAAGGGCTGACAGGTCCCGGCCTGGCGTAGGGCACAGCTGCAAAACGGGAGAGCCCACAGTGCGGCGTGCCTCGTGGGCTCAATGGTGCAGCATCATCGCGCGGGGAAGGCGTGGAGGGCAGCTGGGAGTGCGGACTGAGGGGTCTGGTGTGAGCCCTCAGTCAGCAGGGTCTGCTGGTGGTGCAGCTCGCGGAAAGCACCAGCTTCATTGCTGATAGTTGGTGTTGGAGTGGGAATCCCATGGTGTTCCCAAAGCTGGTTGTGAAACCCAAGTTGTTTTTTTGGGGGGGGGGGGGGGGGGGGCGGATTTCTTGTTTTCTTTTCTCTCACTCACTCTTATTAGGTAGGAATACACATAAGGGAAAAAAATCTTTTCTTGTAATCTTTTATTTTACTTTATTGGTGTTGTTTGATGTGGAACTCTGTAAAAGCGTCGATATTTCACTTTTGTTTGTGTTTTTTGTTTTTTTTTTTTTTTGATAGGACAAGGGGGAATGGTTTCAAACTAAGACGGGGGGGTTTAGGTTGGGTATTAGGAGGAAGTTTTTCACCCAGAGGGTGGTGAGGCACTGGAACAGGTTGCCCAAGGAGGCTGTGGCTGCCCCATCCCTGCAGGCATTCAAGGCCAGGCTGGATGTGGCTCTGGGCAGCCTGGGCTGCTGGTTGGTGACCTGCACACAGCAGGGGGTTGAAACTGAGTGATCATTATGGTCCTTTTCAACCCAGACCATTCTGTAATTTATAAAGCGAAACTCTTCGGTTGTTTAAAAAAAAAAAAAAAAAGCCACATTAGTGAAACTGTATGAGTAAAACAACATAAAACCAAAGGAGTGAAGCATATAACAGGGTTGCTTCTTTTTCGGTGACATTTTCTAACCTCTGGTTAGATTTCCTTACATCACTTGTTCCATTATAACTTGAATAAAAACTACCTTTTATTTATGGTACTTTGTTACGGATGGGTGCTGGTGTCAGGACAAGCAGGAGTACATCAGGAGTTGTCATCCTGTCTCTGTATCCGTAGAGGACAGTCATACAAAACAACTGTACCTGCCTTGAGATGATAAAAACTACTGCCAAGTGTGACATCCTGATTTAAAGCTCAGCATCCTTATCGCTGTTGGAAGGCTACATGTTGCCTCCCCAAAAACCTCCAGGATTTGCAAATAGCTGCAGATAATGAATGGCATGAAAGCAGGACAGCTGTGTTTTGCCTCATGGTCTCAGTGAGCGGCTCCCAAATCGCAGTGGAGCCTTTTAAAAAACCAAAACGACTCCTTTTGCAAGTGGTCTTTAATGCGGAGATGGTATCAGTGCTGGCTCTGTTGTGGGGTGTTAGACCTGAGGAATATTAAGAACAATTCCATTCACCAGAATTTCTTCTGTTAGTTTTCCCTGAGCCTGTTTGACTGGTGGGGTGTGGGTGGTGGGGGTTAATTTCTGGACGGAGCTGCTGTGAGCACCGCTGTGAAGCCAGTTTGTTGCCCTGTGTGATTTTTCCAGACACTTCAACGAGAAGAGGGACTTCCCAGCTTTGTTCTTGGCACACCCTTCTGTTCAGTGTCGGGCTGTTCTGCTGCTGGCCTGTAAACTTGGAACTACCTGCTTTAATTCCTGTTCCTTCTGCTTGGCACACAGCTGGCAGAGATGTTTTGTTGTTGTGTTATCAGGAGCTGTTGCTGGGTTGTCAGTTGCATTCCTAGGCTCACATTTGGAAGTATCTGCTGTAATTTTGTTAAATCCCCTCTCTCCTCCTACTTCTGGCATAATTCTCTGCTCAACTGGAGTATTATATAAGATTGTGCTGTATTGCTCCTATCTCCTGTTGCTGATATTTTTTTCTGCTCGGCGCAGAGAGGAAATAAAAAGAAAAATAAATAAAAACCAACATCTTTTTGCTGTAAGCCTTTATGGAGAGAATTTTGAAGGTATCAATTCCTGGTTCTCAGGTGATGAGCTGCTCCCCCATTCTGTCTTGTGCAGAATACACAGACTTAAAGCATCTGTCCCAAGATCTGGAAACACATGACAGTGCAGGAAACCAGCATGGGATTAAAACTCATACTTTAATATGCTTCCCTTGAGAAGGAAAAGCTGTTGTTTGTATAAACTGTATCTGTAGGTACATTTAGTACTTCTTCCTCAGTTTCTGTTCTCAGGTGTCCTTTTACTGAACTCTCTTTTGGAAGGAAGGAGTTGAGTGATTCTGGAATTCTCCTCTTTGCTGATATGCATACCTGAATATTGCAGCATCCGTCAGATGCCCTTTGCTTCTTTCTTTCCCCTCTGCACTTTTAGGACAAGAAAAAAAAGATGCAGAACCACTGACTGTGCAGCAAACACCCCAAGAAAACTCAGAGTTCATTTTATTCTGAGTCAGCCCTTTGGCTGCAGGCAGGAGTGGCACTGCTGTGTTCCATGAGACGTAGTTGGCCTTACAGCTCTTCAAGTCATATTCAAACTGACAAATGGAGATAACCTGTTTGGCCTTTCGGAGCCTGTGTTGTGGTGGTTTTGGATGGCTGTGCACTAGGAATATGGCTTTTGCTGGCGCTGTGGCTTTGTGTGTCGTGCATTTAAATTGGGCTGATGTGAAGCTTGGGCAGTGAATCGGATCAACTAGTGTCAGTGCTAGAAGACAGAGGCAATATCTGATAACAAATCATTTACCTGCAAAAAGGAATGTCCTTGTATATGTCTGTAGGTGTCTCATATACAGAGTGCTGGAATATTCATTTGAAAATATGCTAGTTTTTAATGCTGTAGGACCTCATAAGTTTAGTAATAATGTTTCTAAAAGTATGCAGGAAGGTTTGGAGCTCGGTACACTTAAATTTATTACATATTGAGAAACATTTCGTGGCGTTGGATGTGTAAATTTATGTAGGGCGTGTAGCTGGATGCTGGTGTACTTAAACTGCTGACTGCTGGTTGGAGTTGTGTGAATCACTGCTCTTTCTTTGGAGCTAACGTGGCACCCTTTCACTTACAGCTGGAATGCTTTCCTGTGTGACAGCAAACACAGCAATACAGCATCAGTCTGAAAAGCCTGATGGGAGCTGCACAACTTTGAGCATTAAACTCTTATGACTGTCAGTGTGCTGGGATGGTACCTAGAAGTTCATGAAAAGATTTCTTGCACTTAAACAGCAATGTGTAGTTGTTCAGATTGGGTTTTTTTTCCTCTTTTCCATCACAACTAATTGTCATATTTCAATAAACAGGCATCTCTCAAGTGTGTGTAACAGCTGAGCATCTCTCTAGGGCTGTGGCAAGTACTGATATTTAAGCAGAACAACCTGGAAGATGAGGGTGGCCAGAGAGGAAGTAATGGATCTCAGAGCCAAACAAGAAGTAAAATTTTGCTTGTGGCACTCAATCAGGTGCAGGATTAATTAGCGTGGATGTAGTTACTGTTCTGCACTCATTCTTTTCTCATTGCTCAAAAAATTTGCTCAGCAAATCATGAATGAGGTCGTCATTGTACATAGCAGTGGTTTACTTCACTGAGGGCCTTCACAAGATTATCGAGTTTGTTTTTCCAGCTTAGGCTTTAAAACTAGCGAGGCCTGACTGAAATCTTCAGCTCGTTCTGAGTTTTGGTTTCAAATAGGGGATTTGCCTTTGTCTGCAAGGAAGCTCAGAGATGCTTCTGATGAGACTGGAGAGCAGGTGGAGACAAACACCCTCAGTCTGGGGCTGCTGTAGAGCAATGCAGAGGAGCTGCCTGGCTGCCTCCCAAGAGTCGCTGCATAAAGAGGCTGGAACAGACGCTGCCTGCATTGATGTAAAAGTTTTCAGTTAACTTGGCTGTAATCATGCCTACAGATGAACTGTTTTGTCTGTTACAGAGTGTTGCCGTATATATATTTTAAACCCTCTGAAGAATCTATTATCTGATGGTAGAAGCATCACACAGTGTTCCCTGTGTGCGCAGAGAGCAGCTGCTGGGGCTGCCTGTCCCGACCGATGCTTCAAAATGAGAACAGCTACACTGGGGCCTTGGTTTCCTCACTTGCATCTCTGTAGAAGTGTCTGACCTCAACAAGTTGTGATTAAAAACCACACACGTCACTTTGATGGATTTCCTAGAAGTACTTGTGGCCGGTGAATGAAATTTGGAGAACCGTATTTCATTGCTGCTTTGGAGATGCAGGCTGTTTTCTTTAGGTTTCCTGTTGGCTTCTGGTTCTGTTGCTGCTTGTGAAGAAGAATACAGTGTGTATGGGCATTGGAGTCCAGAAGCGTTGAAAATGGCTGTTGTGGTGAGTTTTACCTTACAGCCCTCTGCTTTTGCAGCAAGTGGGATTACAGGGAAATGGCCCAAGTTTAAATGTCAGAAATATTTATTCAGCTGCTTCCTGAAATGTTCTGCAAGGTGCTGGTCTGAGCTGGGAGCCCACCTTACCGGAGCTGAAAGAGATAGGAGTCCTGATGCTGCTTGATAGCTACAAATCTTAACTTCTATCATTTGATTTGTCTCTTGTAGCAGGTAACTGATATTTCTCTTCTGGATAATATTACCCAGCAGCTTACTGAGTTTTGCTGTTGATGGGGAAAATAGTAGGAAGGCTTCTTTTAGTGTTATTTCCAATGGTGGAAGGGGAACCAGGCAGGAATGAGAAGCAGCATTAACTGTGGTTTCTGTGAGCCTGGGTTTTAAGCAGCTTATGGAGGTGGCCCGTTGTTGCAAGAAGGAAAACAAATTTATGTATCTTCTGGGAATTTTTGTACCCTTTTATATTTTCCCTTTGTTTTTAAAAGATTCCATAAATAGCTTATGCCAACATCAGCTCAGAATGCATGACCAAAACAAAAAGTTCGTTCCCAGATATTTCCTTTGGGAGTTTGCACTGGAAACACAAATGAACATCAGTGCCAGGAGTGCACCTCACTGCCCTGCTTCCCCAGTGCCACTGATACACAGAGATCCAGCACTGCCCCTGGCCCTTCTTCCCTCTATTAGAAATGCACTAAATATAGAATCTCGGAGCTACCGACATTTTTCTTTGTTCTTTGTCTCACTAATTAGATAATCTGGGTTTGAATGGTGAGGATATTCAAATAGGGTGTAGGCGAATGCTGTGATTGGGTTATTTTCAGTGTGATTTATGGTCAGCTGTGAGTGTTTTGATGTTAATGTGAGTTTGGTTATTAAAGTGGTGCTAAGCAGCACCAGCATGCCTTATTGAAGTGGGTGTGATGAGCTCTCTAGAAAACACAGCGCTGATTCATGAGGAAAATGAAGCTGTTTTGGAACTGGAAGTTGGTTGGGATTTGGTTCTCATTTCCTTCTTCTATTTTTGCCTTTTCATGTTGATGTTTGGTCCGCTCACAGAAAAGCAAAGTGAAAAGAGAAAGCAAAGGACTCTTCCTGCCCATGCAGATACGTGTGGGAGAAGCATCACCCAACAGGACAGGCAAACAGGAGTTTCTGCAGTGCTATTTATGACCTGTTAGCAATAAACTCTGGAATGAGCTTTCTACTGAAATGAAGCAAGCTGCTGGCTTTATTTTCAGGCATCTCCAAAAAGGTGGGATTTCACACTGATTTCTAAGGGTGGTTTCATGTGAGCTCTCTTTGGCACTCACTCAATCTTTATGTTTAGCAACGAAAGTAATTCTTACAAGCATTTGGAAGTCATGCTGCAATTACAAGCAGGTGAGAGCACCCAGTAAATGGATGCCATGTTTTTGCCACGTGTTGTAATCTCTAAATTTATTACTTGAAAGCTCAATTTCCAGAATAATAATGACAGAAACAGTATTCCAGCTCAGGTTGATTTTTCGATGAGCTCTTAGGAATATTAATGCAAGATGGCAACTGGAAAACATTACATGAAGACTGCCAGATGTTCATATTGCTGGGAAGTTGATCTGAATGAAAGGTTTTGGAGGGGATTTTGGTCTTGGTGGCTTGCAGGAGATCAGACCTGCAGTCCCATTGGAGTGTTTCAGTGCTGCTTGGTACAGTGCACCAATGCATCATCTAAACTGAAAGTGTTCATAGGCAGTAACAAAATCTTCCTTTTCAAAATGAAGAAGGCAGAAATGTGCTCCGTTCAGGGGTTGTGGAAGCCTGAAGTTGGTGCTGGATTAACGAGTCTTGTGATGAGAGGAAGAACGGAGGTGAAAAGCACAGTAAGAGGAGGCTGCTTGCTTTTAAGAACGCGATTATTTCTGCATGTGGATGTGATTCTAACGTACTTTGGGTAATTTCTAGTTGGGGTGAGGTGTGATTACAGGGGATGCACTTTTCTGCATCCATTCAAATGCTATTCACAGCAATCTCAGCAGAATGGCAAAGCTGCAGCTTAATTTAATGACTGCAGAGCAGAAACGTGGAGGATTTGTTACAAAAGGAGATGGTTATCTGGAGGACTCTTGGCTGCTTTTTACCCCTGACTTCATCCATCTTCCTTGGTTTTGGTTGTTTGGTATTTATCTGATGTTTGGAGAGGAGGGGAATGGCTGGTAGATGGTCTCTAACTAATGTTGGTATTTCCTTGTTTTGTTAAATATATGTAAAGCTTGGGATTCTCCTTACAATGCTGACGTTTTGCTGGCAGTGCTCCCTGTTTCATTTCCTCTTTCCTTTCCCATCCTCTAATAGTTTCATACAAATGATGGCTTCTATAGATGAACCAACTTTTTTCCTTTTTTTTTTTCTTTCTGCTTTGTAACAGAAGAATGAATTTATGGGAAAAAAAGAGATGAACATTCCAAGAATGGAAAAAATCCCTTATTTTTGGAATCTTTTGAAGTGGAATTGTAGTGACTGAGTTCTGCTGTGTTATAACTATTAATTGTGTAGGAAATAGGGGTTTTCTTTTGGCTTTTTTTCTTTGTGTGTTTTCTTTTTTTTTAAGAGAACTGACTTGCAATGAATTATCTGGAATAAACTGGATGGAGGTGTGTGTCTGTCTGCATCAAAGTCATCTTCTCATGGGGTGTCCAGAGGGCCTTGTTGTGACCTCGTGAACTTGGGTGTAATAATAACTTTGGTGTAATAGCATGAAATGGAAGGCTGTATTTCTTAGTTTAGATGTCCATCCAAGTTCCTGAATGCTGCTGATGATGGGGGCAGCTTGCAGGCAGAATTGGGGCTGATAAACGGTGGCTTGAAGAGAAAAGCACAGACGTTCAGCTCTGGGAGAGTTCTCCTGTTCTGTGTTCCAGCAGACCAGGTTATCTATGTGTTCTGCATCCCAAATGAGACCTTATGGGCTTCTCAGCCTGTTAAGCATATTCCATTGGATGCCAGTCTATTCCTTCCCATTTCTCTGCTGCGATGGAGATTTTTTCCTGTGTTATTTTCTAACTGTATTTGACACAAAGCTCCGTGTGTCACTGAGTTGATGGCACTTAAGGAGCAGTGTCCTCTACCACCACTGGGCAAGCTCTGTGTTCCCCTGGGCCCGACTTCAGCCTGCCTTTGGAGCACAGCGAGGTTTCCTGCTGCAGTAGGGTGTGATGTGCTGGCTGTAATCTGTGCTGGCTGTAATCAGTGCTGCTTGGCAGCCATTAGTGCAGGCTGGGAGTGCTTTGCTGAGCCCATAGTTGCTTCCCTCTCTGATATTCCAAGCAGGAAAAGTGTGTCCTCTTTAGCAAACACATTAAAATCTGAAAACTCTCCCATCCACCGCTTAGATGGCATTGCACACCACCTTGCTCCTTCTGTGAACTTGCCTTTTCTCCTCCTCGATGGCAGCAGATTGAATCCTCCCGTTGTCCTTTCCAAGGCTGTGAGGAATGCAGGAAGATAATGGTCTTTTCCTGTGCTTCCATTACTCATCCCACTTGTTTTACTGCTTCTGTTATCTTTGTCTCACTCCTTTTCTCTGCATGTCCTGCTGCTTTTGGGCAGTTTGGCTCTGTTCTTGGGTAGTCATTGATAATGTTGCTTGTCTGTTAAGCAAACAGCCATTTTTGAAGCAGTTAATTGAAGGACGTTTGTTTTACAGACACTCACTGAATAATGCTCTCAGGAAAGGAATCTATTTGAAATTTTCTATTGTAAGCTACTGGTTCCTTAAAAAGGTAATTAACTTATCTGAGAAGAAATTAATCTTTGGCAAAATTGAGTCACTTTGAGACCTGGTCTGGAGTTACTGGTTGAGCTGATAATCCTCAGCTCTATTGGGTCAAATCTCTGCTGCTGTTTTGACTGCTGGTCCCTACAGTGGATGGAGTTTTGAACTGAGATGTCTGGGTATGGCTGCTAAGTCAGGAGGTAATTAGTAGGACAGAGTGGCAATGGGACATTTCCTGTGCTTGAGAAGGGCCTGGTGTGGCTCTCATTCTGAGAGGAAATTTCTTCATCTGGAAGTGGTTGCAAATGAGGTGAGAATTTACTCTTTCTCATTTTAAAAATAACAGTAATGCAATAATTGTATGCCAAAAACAAGTGCTGTTTGTGATGGTATCCCAGAAAGTGAGAGACTTGCAGGCTGTACCTGGCCTACTAAGGATCCATGAGATAACACTTTGGTTTTTGTTTCCTGACTTGATATTTATCCCTTTGAGTCTGTCCTGCCTTTCCTGGCCATAAGGAATTCTGATATCCATACTGTTTACAAAACGTCCTCTTAAAACCTCTGCCTGCGCCGCTTTCTGATCTGCTCCTGCTTCAGAGGTGCCAGGCTGTTACTCAAGGCGTGTGAGCTGGTGAGGCATTAAGTGCTCATGAGCAAATAAACACAGGGGGAGCCTGCTGCTTTCAGAAACTGCATGCATGGAGTGCATTAAGCCAGCTGTTGTTCCTTTTTAAAATGTGTTTAATATTGGTCCATACCAGAAGAGCTCGTCAGTGTTTGAGGGTGGAGTGGCACACAGACGTTTCTGAGGCTGTGTTCAGTGAACCTGCGTGTGTGCTTGGTAAGCAAAGCAAGTGGCAAATCTTTCCTTGCCATTTTTACAAAAAAAGATAAGAAAAGAAAAGGAGATTGCATTTATTTTATTATGGTTTGAGCTAGGGATATGTTCTGGTTTAACTTTTTTTTTCCTCATCTGTATTAAATTGCCTCCCCAAAGGTCTGCAGAAAGCTTTGACACACTGTGCTGGAAGTATTTTCCAAATAATAGGAAATCTCTAAAATCTGGGCCCTATGTCTCCTCTGGGCCTTTCTAAAGGGGTAACGAATGACGTGCTGGCATGCAGCAATTCTATTAGCACGCTGTCACAACTTTTATTACCACCTGCCTGTCCAAACCATCTGGGAGGAAAGGACATCAGAGATACAAGTGACAGTTACTCATAGGAAATTAAATAGTCTTGTGTGTCTGAAGCTCAAGCACTTGTCCAGCCTTTAGAGCACAGCTTTCTACAACTTCTGTCCTGAAGTGAGGTGCAGGTGATACTTTGAGACGTCTTAAAACCCAGTGGAAATGCAGAAAGTATCTGTAAAACTTTAGATTTTTTTCTTCAGGAAGTTTCAAAACCTCTTGATTTCCCATTATGTGACTGATGGCTGTGGTCTTAGGGAGTTTGCTCCTTGGACACTGGGGGGGTGCAGGGTTATGTGTGCATCCAGGAAAGTCCTCAGCATCTCAGGGTGCTCCAGCAGCCGTGGTCAATGTGCCATGACAGCATAGGAGCAAATGTCTCCTCGTTAATCCCTGATTTTGTGCCAGAAGTGAGGTGTTACCACTAAATTTAGTGTGTTTGAGAAAGCCAAAAGACTCCAGTGGGTCTCTGTGATCACCTTCAGTGTTAATTTTGTTACTTGATTGATTCAGTGCACTGGCAAGCCAAAGCTTTCCTGCAGAAACCTGCCTGGTGTTGATAGGTCTCTGATGTGGAAGTAAATCGGGCTCATCATCTCTCTGACACCAGTGCAGGTGAGCAGCTTTGTGACATCACTGCACAACAGAAGCCTGGTGTTGCCATGCAGTCGTGGCTGATGACTTTCAACTCTTGGAAGGTATCCTGTAGTGATCAGCTGTGCCTGAATCCCTGCAAGGAGAGAGAACCAAGCAGGTTTGGAGCTCTGGGCTTCAATTTTGGCTAGGTATGTCGAGCAGCAACCGTAGTACTAGGAAATGAAGGAAAAAACATCATATTCCGTTACTGAGCTGTCTTTCTTCTTGTCAGGCCTTTCTTTTAGGCTTAGCATCTCATTGCTCTGTGTGCAGACAGGTTGCACTCAGTGAACTTAGGACACTTCATGCTTTCACCAGTTGCTGTTCTCCTCTGGTGGTTGTGTTTTGTCCCTGTTGTTTGTGCCTGTGTGACTGGGAAACCTGTGCAGTGTAACGGATGGGTACAGTAATGTAAATGGACAGGAACGGAGCAGTAAAACAGCCTGAGTGTGGAGTTGAGTGCTTCTGTGAACCCAGAGGGGAAGGAAAGGATCTTGGGTCTCTCCTGCCTGTCAGCTAAAACAACAGAAAGGTGTTTCTCCCCAGCCATGAGGAGCACACGGTGCGTTGTCTGCTGCTTGTGCTGCAGTTCCAGGTTCTGTCCATCCCCAAATCCCGTGGCTGGAGATGGTGAAAGAGAAATGCCTTTGGAGACATTGCGAGTGGAAAGGCAGTTCAGCCACGTATTCACATCTAGAATCTGCTAATTTGGGCTTAGTTTGAACGGCACAGTGGTTTAATTGAATTTCTTTGGAGGTAATTTTAAGTTTAATGTAATAAAACCTGCAGCAAGTGCCTAAGGTGAATACCGACATTGCCTTCTTAGAATGTTGTTTTGTTTAAGCCTTCTCCTCATTGCGTATCCACAGCACAAACTGCAAGTGCAAAAAGTTGATGAAGCAGAGGTGGTTTGACAGCAGTGCCAGGGGTTCAGGTCTTTGGCAGTTGTTAGGCCTCAAGTTTTGTTCTGGGAGATGCATTTTCATTGATTAAATAGGCAGCTCTGCAGGGTTAAATGTGTATTTCTAAGCAACTGAAAGTCAGTATCTCTCTTTCAGCGGTTACGTGAACTCATTTGTGGTTTTCTAAAGGAAATTAAACCTGAGGAAAAGGGGGGGAAAAAAACCAAATCACTCATTTTTATATTACAGATTAGATTATACCTGTGTGCCAGTGTTGTCACATATTTTCTGCAGGTCAGCATAACTCAAAACCCAAGTAAATGACACCCAACTGAAGTGCAGACCGAGGGGAGCCTTTCTTAAGAGAGGTCTGGTCTGCTGGTGTGAGACTTGACATGAAAGTGAGGAGTGAGTATGGAATTCAATTGGTAGCCTCAGGGTAAGCAGTAAATCCCAAATGAAGTCAGTGGTCTCCTGGTTTTGGACTCCTTGGAGGAAATGATAGGCTGGGTTTATTCCTATGAAGAGCTGGCATATTGAAAAAATAAGTGGTGATGGTATATTGCCACCTCAGGAAACATATGGGAGCACTCCTAATGTTTTGGTGTATAATACAACCTATTTTGAAGGCGTGGGGAGAGAGAAACAACGTGAGAAGCATGATTGCTTTAACTTGCATGCAGTGAGTTTTAGCAGCGGTCGGGACGTTTTTTTCTTCGTTATTAGTTTTGGTTTCATTTTTTTTTGTTATTGTTCTCCTTTCTTCTTCTCCCAGTGTGAAGATCTAGCATAACTTTCTTCCCCTGAGTTGTGACGTTCTGTTTAATCTTCAAACTGGCGATGTCAAGGGTGCCAAGTCCTCCTCCTCCGGCAGAAATGTCGAGTGGACCCGTGGCAGAAAGCTGGTGCTACACTCAGGTGAGACCGCGCTGCGTTGGGCTGTGCTCACTTAGAGCCTGCAGCACGAGGTTGGTTCAGAACAAACGGAGGGTCCTGGGGTTTCAGAGAACGTGGGATTTGCTAAGGCTGAGTGTTGCCATTCACCATGGCAATGAGAAGTCATTGTTCTGTGGCACCCGTGTTGGAGGGTGGATGTGTCAGGAGGAGTTGTGGTGGTGCAGCTACTGCTGCTAGCTATTTCCAGACTCTTCCCTCGTGTCTGGAGGTTACTTGTAACGCAGGTGATTCTGTGCGACGTCCAGGATTTCAGTTTTTGTCTTTTAAGACCTTTTGTCTTCTATGACCAGTGTGAAAGTGAATGGTCCTTAACCCACCTCTTATTCTCGGTTTTAAGATTAAAGTGGTGAAGTTTTCCTACATGTGGACCATAAACAACTTCAGCTTCTGCCGAGAGGAGATGGGTGAGGTGATCAAAAGCTCAACTTTTTCGTCTGGAGCCAATGATAAACTCAAATGGTAAGGAATACAGAAGTGAGGGTGGCTGTGTTTGTACAACGGTGTGGAAGAGTTTGGGGCTCTGTAGCAAAGAAGTATGTTTAAAAAAAATTAAAGAAAAAAGAAATAACCTTGTGCTGCATGCAGATTCTGGCTTCCTTGGATGTACAAAATACAGAGAGTGTTGTTGCTTCAGCACAGTGTTTGGACATAGAGCAAATGTGAGGATCTGACCATTAGAAATGTGCTTCACATAATAGAAAACATCAGAAGTTGTAGATGCTGCAGCTAGAAGGGAGACTGCATCCTGCCTCAATGCAGAGGCAAAGCATGGAAGATTAATAATCTGTTATAAATTATTTTCTGTCTTAAATGACTGATGTTCATCTTGGCAAGCTCTTGGAAGCCAGTGAGAATCTACAGCCAGGGCTGTAAAGCTCTATTTCAGCCTCCCAGTTTCAGCCTCCCTCACCACGTTGTTAAAAAGCTGATTTTCACACGCACTCTTAAATTCTCTTTCCTGCAGTTTCAGGCTATTTCTACTGTTACTTTCTCAGCAGCTTTTTATATATTCAGAGCCTTACAATAGTTCCTTCTATCATCTCTGTATTCTCTATTTCCATTTGCCCAAGAGTTTCTGCTTGTTTTTTTAAAGACAACATTTTTACCCTTTTAAACCTTTCCTGTTTTCCCCCTGGAAATGTTTCAGCATTTTTATTTAAATTTCCTTAGTCTAGATAGCAGCAAGCTTTCCACTGCCTTATTTAATTTAGGGCTGTGTGTGTGCGAGATATGATTTGTGTTCCCTTCCTTTGGGTGGCAGACCTGTGCTTTCCTCAGACTGCTTTTTGTTATTAAATTACTTCATTTTCCAACCTTTGCAAGTCAGATCTCCTTCTCATGCCTTGGTCTTTCTGATTTATTTACTTTTTTTGGTCACTGTGTTTAAGCTGCTGGTTGTTTGGCCTGCTCTTTTTCTCCCTGCTTGTGACATTCTGTCTAGTTTCAGATCATAGAACTGCTTATGAGTAGCCTTTTCCTGCATTTACTGTCTTTTCTTAACCAAGGAGTAATTTGTTTGGATTTTTTTCCCTAGCTTTGTTTTTGAGAAGCTTTCAGCCCTCTAGAAATCAGGTGTTTCCTCTGAGTTGCTTCCTCTGCGATTTTAACAGTCAGTTCTTGGGAATTTTGCACTTCTCTGAATCTTTAGCTTCTATTCTGCTATTTTTCTGTGGAAGTCGTCATGCACAGTGCTTTTTGGTGTGTGAAATTGCATCCCCATGTATACCTGCACTCTTCCCAAGCCCTGTGTTTGTTTGTTTTTAAATGATTTACCCATGCTATTAGTAGGGTATTGATATCTGTCTTGGAAGATGTAGCCTGAGGCTGACTGTGAAGCACAGTTCCACTCCGTTTAGCTGTCTGTTATTTCCTTGTGGTTCAGTGGTTGGTAATCAGGACTGTACATTTTATCATGAACATTCCACCTCCTTCGAAAGCTGTGGATGACCTGCCAAAAGCTGCTCCTGCTCTTATTCAGCTCTCTTCTTCTGCAGGTGTTTACGTGTGAACCCTAAAGGCTTGGACGAGGAGAGTAAAGATTATCTATCCCTCTATTTGTTGTTGGTGAGCTGTCCGAAAAGCGAAGTTCGAGCAAAGTTCAAATTCTCCATCCTGAATGCTAAAGGAGAAGAAACAAAAGCAATGGGTGTGTAAAAACACTGTCTGTCTGCAGGGGTCGGTTGGTTTGTCTTTTGCTGTTTGATCAAGCAAGTCGTTGAGCTGCTGTTTGAAGCACTGTGTCTTTCTTTCAGAGAGCCAGCGAGCGTATCGATTTGTGCAAGGCAAGGACTGGGGATTCAAAAAATTTATTAGGAGAGACTTTCTTCTAGATGAAGCCAATGGACTTCTTCCTGATGACAAACTCACTCTATTCTGTGAGGTAAGCCTTCGTCTGCTGCTGAAAGAATAGCAGTTCCATTAGCTTCAGGTAGATGTGACCTTATTTTTCATCATTGCTTTTAAGGCGTCAGTGGAGTCAGGAGGAGCAGTGGCTGTTTATTTAACACTTAGATTTTATTTGTGTCTGCTTGTGTGTGCGCCTCTGTCTGGGGTGGCTCTTTCTTTCTTTCTTTCTGTGAGTGAATCATTGCATTTTACTTTCATTTGTTTTTCACTACTTTATACGTCTTTTACCCGTGGTGACAGTAGAAATTAAGCACATTTGATTATTACTTCCCTACCGATTTAATAATAATAACCATCCCTAATTTAAGATTCACTTAGGTTAATAACCAGTGCTAGCTGTATAGTGGAAATTGTCATGCCTGGTACTTGTCCTCTGAGTAAAAAGGACAAGTTTTCTTTATTTTCCTGTGTCTGTATATCTTACAGAAACAAAAAGCTAAGCTGAAGGAATTCCACAGTCACCACAGCTCTTGTTTGTTGTTTTTTCCTATAATTTTTCTACAAAACACTCAGACTTCACTATTTGCAGATGAGGGTGCAGTTATTTCTAAAGATAGATATCTATGTTCAGAAGCCTTGATGGGGAAACCTAAACTTCCTAATTTAGTGTCTCCCGAGCTTTTGGTGTCTGTTTCTCTTGTCTTTTTAACTGCAAAATCCCTCCTGTAGCTGTGATTCTTGCCAGAGCACAGGTAGAAAAAGCTGTCCTGTCTTCAGATCTCCTGCAGGCTGTTTTGTGGGAGTAGAGTCTTTTCTTTTGCTATGTTTTCTTCCAGGATTGCAAGGAGTGCTTCAGTCCAAACCATTTGACAGCCATTTGGTTATGTTGTTTGGTTTTGTTTTGCTTGTTTTGTAGCTTTGCCTGGCCATCATAAATGTACACATACCTAATTTAGCAAACACCTCCTGATGGATTTGTATTCATTCAGTCATTTTGAACCATTACTGTCAAGGAGGAAGCTCTTCCTTAACACTGATAGCAATGTGGGGGAAGGAGAGAGCAGTGTCTTGGGTGACACCTCCTTAGGTTTGGCAGTTAGCCTTTCTTTCATGATAAATGAGCCACAGACCTCAAAACTGTGGTGGTAACTCAAGAATTAATGCTGGAGAAGGGAAATCCACCAGCCGTGCTGGCAGCCAGAACCATGTCAAGTCCGCTTTCTATTGAATTACTCCCTTCAGATGCTTCAGCTCAGCATTTTTGTTTGTTCCTCGTCCAGAACAAACCCACTGCTTGCTTTGCCTGACCTGGATCTGGATATCTTCTGTTTTTCTATTTCGGTTTGTTCTGTAGCTTAGTATATATAAAAAGTCTTAAGTTTATATAGTGATATTAGAGGGGAAAGCCATGCTGTTTGGAAACAGTTTGGAGAGAACTTTCAACAGCTTATTTTTGTTTTTTAAGTCTTAGGATGTAAACTAGTGTACCATATGTTCTCCTAACACTTCTCTTCTGGCCGCAGGTGCCAAGTGGTGCTGCTACATCTGTACCTCCAACAAGCATGTTTTGTTAGCAGCACTTGATGAGACACTTGTTATTTGGAGATATATTGGGGTTTTCTATAGACCAAAAGGTTGCTGAGCAACTCTGCTACGCCTCCTCTCTTTGCTTTACAAGACTTTAAAGGAAGGAGCCTTCTGCACTCTGCACAGGGCAGCTCTGAACTCGCATGATGTGTTGCTGAAGATGCTGTTACAACAGAATGCTGATCATTGTCAATCATTTTTAGTCTGACCTCATTTGCTTACAGTTTGGAGATCCTTCCACCTCTGTTATGCAGATGGGGTTGATTTGCTCATATCCCATCTGCGTGACTAATTGCTGTTCTAAGTTATATTCCAGCATTATAGGTGAACGAGATCTGATGAACCTAAAAAAGAACAGAGTTCCCAGAGTTACAGCAGTAATCCTCCTCTGAGCAGCTGGGAATTCCCTTGCTAAGTCGTTGAAAATAACTTAAGCAAAACTAGCTGCTTTGGCACCAGAGTCTGGTCAGTGCTTCAGGTCTACCAGTCTAAACTCCTGTGAAAAGCCACATGGTAATTTTTTTAATGCTGGTAACGGACTTTGTTTCATACGTGAAGATGATTTACTTGTTGATTTGAGATAGTTTGCAGGTCTTCTTGGTGGGTCTGTGGTCAGGGTCGGACTCCGAGGGATCCGCATCTTAGAAATGCTTTTTAATGAATCTGAATCAATTTTGCTGTCCTTGAGTCTGTTACTAGAAGTTACAGGGCGAAAAGATGTTACAGCAGTCCAATTAATGACAGGGAGCATTACCTTTCTCTCAACTGCTGTGGCTGATCATTGGCAGTGCCCTTTGGCAAGCAGCAGCTGGCATTTGTTCGTTCTTGGGTATCAGATAGTTTGTACAAGATTGAGGGGAATGCCCAAGAGTGCCCACCCTCAGGAACCCACTGGGGGTTTCCCCAAGAGCTGGGCTATGTGCTGTCAGCAGTTCTTCCCTAATAAGGTGTTTCTGTCATCTCTCTCCCTTCATAATTTACTTCTCCTTTTGCTTAACTGGGAAGCTTCCTATGCTGCCCATTGTTCTCCTCTGGCCATTGTTATTAATAGAACTGAAATTCAACCTGAACCTGACAGCAAATCCAGCAAATGGTTTCCCATATGCTTCCTTGTCAATCAGCTTGTTCCTTTACTCTTTGCTATAGCAGGGTAGTATTAGTCATTCTGATCTCTTCTAATTTGAGTCTGCTGCAGAAGGCGTATGATTTACTGCATGTTTAACAATAATGGTTTGCTGCTGAATAGACTCTTAGCTGTTCCCTTTGCGTAGGTTATTCGTCAGCTGGTTTGGCTGCATATGGTCTCTGCCTGGCCATGTCTAGTTTAGAGCAGGTGGTCAGGAATCTTACCAGCCTTCTCCAAAATCTCCTACTTAATTGACATGGAGTTGCTTTTTTAATTCAGTTTTTTTCTTCTTTTTCAATGCACTGGAAGCATTGCACTCGAGAAATTGGAATTCTACTGCTGAACCAGAAGCAGAAAAGCATTTGGGGTGCTCAGAATGTCCTGCACTGATCAGACACTGCTCTTGCATGCATGTATGGATGCAGTGGTTGCTCTGTACGTTTCATTTTCATTTATACTGCTCTCTGTGCTGCATTATTGATTTGGGAGGGTTTCAGACTGTTGATAGAAGGAAAAAAAAAAAAAAAAATAGGTCAGGAATGGTGTCTGTAAGAACAGAAGAAGAAGATTCTACTTCCCTAGGAGACCACATAATAAAACTGTCGTGAACCTGCATGAAAGTGCCATCAATTTATGCACACAGCTTAAAAATTCCTGAAAGGAAATTGCTTTTCCAGCGTGGAGTTTGAGTAATTTGTTTATTGCCCTGCAGGTGAGTGTGGTACAGGACTCTGTAAATATCTCTGGCCAGAACACTATGAACATGGTGAAGGTACCGGAGTGCCGCCTGGCAGATGAGCTGGGAGGACTCTGGGAGAACTCCCGCTTCACAGATTGCTGCCTGTGTGTTGCAGGCCAGGAGTTCCAGGCTCATAAAGCCATCCTAGCAGGTCAGTATTGTGTTGGATGGGCCTCAGCAGAATGGGGAGCAATAACAATAGCAAGTGAAATACCGTGATATTGAAGTGGTTTTTGTATTGCTCCTTTAAAGGAGGGTTTTGCAGCTCTTTTAAGTGCAGAGCTGTAGTAAAAGACTGTTCTGTGAAGTGCTGCAGGAAGATATATCTGCTGCTTTTTAATTGCCTGCTTTCTCCACACAAAGAGGACGGTAGGAGGTGTCCTTTGTGTCTGTAGTCTACTATAATGTATCCCTGAAGCATTTGTAAGGAGAAGTTACGGAATTATCAGAGTATTTTCTTACCAAATCAAGAAAGATGTCTCAATGCCTGTGTGCTCTTTTGGCCTTTTTTGAAAGGCCTCGTGACATCCCTGCATGCCCATTCTCAGAGCACGAAGCTGCACTGACCACATGACACCATGTCACAATCTGTATGCTTCACCAGCCATGCTCAGCTTGCTCTGTCTGCTATGGGATTTTTTTCTGCATTAAATAGCAGGACGGTTGTTGAGGTGTTGGCAGACTGTGCTCATCTCCTCCTGAAGAGCAAAAGGCTTGTCTCTAACTGTTCTGTTTGCCCCCCTGCTGTAGCACGTTCCCCGGTCTTCAGTGCCATGTTTGAGCATGAGATGGAAGAGAGCAAAAAGGTAAGTTCCTGAAGGAGGGAGAGCTTTGTCAACTTTTAACATCTCTGGTCAGTCAGTGAAGTTTCTTAGGTGGCATTTGTAATTACTGTCACCTCCTTAATTCTTTCTCACATTAGATGCAGTTCTTTGCTTCAGCTGTCCTGAAGGGAGAAGGAAGGGATCAAGGAGGCAATTGTCACCTTTGTTACTCTGGGGAAAGAGTTCAGGGTGGGACAGGGAGAAGTAGATGATCCACAATTCTACTCAGAGTTTTTCCTATTCCATCAATTTCTGTTTGTTTGTTTTAAATTCAGTCATGTTCTGAATAGTTTGTAGCAAATCTCCGAATACTAAAAGACCTTGGGTAGAACCTTTAACATCTTGTCAGAATTTTAACAAGCTGCATTTTTCCAATACAGAATCGGGTTGAAATCAATGATGTGGAACCTGAAGTTTTTAAGGAGATGATGTGCTTTATTTACACGGGGAAGGCACCAAATCTTGACAAAATGGCTGATGACTTGCTGGCAGCTGCTGACAAGGTACAGTTGGGATTTCTGGCTGTTCAGAGAACAAGCAATATGTGCCTTGCTTTACTCAGAGCTCTCCGATTCCTGTAGTAAGCTTTTCATGTAATCACAGCATCACAGAATTGTAGGGGTTGGAAGGGACCTCCAGAGCTCATCGAGTCCAACCCCCTGCCAAAGCAGTTCCCTACAGCAGGTCGCACAGGTCAGCATCCAGGCAGGTCTGGAACATCTCCAGAGAAGGAGACTCCACCACCTCCCTGCAGCCTGTTCCAGTGCTCAATCATTGTGGTTGGGCAGTTTCTTTGAATTGTAATATCAACTGGTTGTGGCTTGTAAGTAAACCTGAACGTGGTGTAGATACACTTAAGGTACTTAGATGTATAGCTGTGTATCACCAGATACATTGACCAGGAATATCAGTTTCTATTGCTCATTTTTAAGACCTTTTTCTAAAATTTCAGAAAGCAGTGCTATTCAATGTAATCTATAAAAGCTGGGAGTGAGAAGAAAAATTCAATTTTTTAAAATAATTTTTAATTTTTTTTTTTTTTTTTTAACATGTTTGTTACCAAATCTCAAAAGTGGTGTTGTGTCTTGGCAAACAGGGCCTGCTGCTGCTTCTGGTCTGGTTGTTAGCAGCAGCTTCAAGAGATGCTCTGAAGTGATGGATAAGTGGGAAGGTCCTGTTTATTTTTTCTTTTTTGCAGTGGCAGTCCTTCCTGGTTGTGGAGACAAGGAGTGCACTGGAGGAAGCCCTGTTGCCTAATCTGTAGTGGTTTTGCAGGCTCCTTGCCAGGGGATGTTCCAGGGATGCTCTGATTGAAGCTGCTGGTTGTTCTATGCAGCAGGCACAGTGCCTTGCAGCCCTCCAGTCTCTGCCTCCTTCCCTTTGCAGCACCAAGGATGGAAGAGAGTGCTTTGCTGGCCAGTGAGCCGTATTAACCAGTGAAAATTCATAATATATAACCGAAATTTTATTTCCTTTTTTTTTTTTTTCTTTTTTTTCTTTTTCCTCTCTCTTAAAAGTGAACTTAGTGCTGGTGAAAGATGCCAGTTTGACAGCACTGGAGACTAAGTCCTGAATTTATCCATGGAACAGGTTCAGCACGGGTAGCAGCAGTGCAAGATCCTCCACACTGCCCTGCCACTGTGCCTCAACACTGACCTGGAGGGACCACCTCTGGGGGTGAGAGCGTAGTTCAGTCTCTGTGCTTCTTCAGTCCTTGGATTCCTCTGTGGGTTCCAGATAGGGTGGTGGATTTCAGGATGTGGATGCATGTAACCTTGTTCCACTCAAACCGCTGCACAGCCGTTAGGTTCCCTGTCGCTGTGGACCTGGCCTTCATCAGAAGTGTTGATTTAAAGGTGAAATGCTCCACGTGCTGTTAGGAGGCCACTGCAGCTGGAGTTAAAATGGGAAATGATGCAGGCAGATTCTTGGCTTGATTATGATAATTGCCACATATTTTATTCAATATTTAAAGAGTATTGATTGAGAGATCGCATACCATCTTTAACTGAGACAAGTGTAAGCAAGGAGCAGTACATTAAGGCCAGAGTAGGCTTTAACTTTGAATTTCTTGGCTTTTAATGTAGACTTTCTTTCTTTTAAACTCATTGTGCGTCTCTTAAAAGCAGAAATTAAAAAAAAAATCTTTCAAGAAAGCACATAAGGCATCTAATATTTACTCAAGAGACTGAAACAGCTTCTTCTGAGTTCCTCCTACCTCTTGGGGAAAATAAGTAATTAGACCAAAACAAAACACGTCTTCTGAACCCAGGAGATACTATTTCAGCCTCTGGAGTAGGAATGTTATTAGGTAGGGCTTTTTTTTTCCTCTTTTTTTTTTTTTTTCTTTAGTGTAATTAAGAAAGATGGGGAGGGGGAAATCTCAATACCTGAGAGACCAGAATGGCTACTTTTTGCCCAAGCACGTAATTAGAAGTTGGGGTATTTGTAGTGAAAATCAAAATAAAAATTGTACATGCATAGAAGAGGATACTCAGTTTACAAAGGGAATAGTTTAAGCTTTGTTTACTGCATTTTAAGCTACTGACAAACAGTAACGTAATGGTTTGCCCCTTCTTTGCAATCGTTTTAGTTATTGATACAGATGAAGTAAATTTGATTTGCCTTCTCAGATGTTCCAATGGGAGAAAACTGTCCTGGTTATGAGTGCCATGCCTCAACTGACATCATTATTGTTGCTGAGTCTTAAGTGAAAGATGTTTTTGTGATTTAAAATTATTCATTTAAATTTAATCGAAACAGAATGAAGATCTCAATAAGAATATAAAATTAATTTACCATGTAGTAGTGCTTATCATATGGCAGGCACTCCAGTCGCCATGCAGAGGAGCTGGTTACCAACTCTCTGTTCGGGTTGGCAGATCAGTCCTTACAAATCTGGTATCTTTTTGGACTGTGGCAACACACAGTGAAGAACGTGCATTTGTGCACCAAGCCATCTTGAAGTTCTCCAGAAAAGCCTTACAGACAATTTGAAGGCTGCTCCCAAATGCTTTTCTCAACTGAAAAATGTCACGGGATCGAGGCTGTTCTGGACTGTGTTTTATCCAAAGAGCTCCATAATCACATCACACATACCAAGATCTTCAGAAGTATCTCAGTCTCTTAGTGCCCACAACCTATCATATTTTAACAGGCTGAGGTTTGGAGTTTGGCCTTTGTTTCTTGTCAAGAGGCTTTTCTGACTATAGACCATTTTGAAAATCTTGGTGTGTCTGCTGCTTCCAGTGCTGACTGAAGTGCTGCAGAAAGTAGCGTGGAATTTATTAGAAGGTTCTCTTGTTCTAAGCAAATCCTTTGAATTCCTTTGAATTTCTCGAATAATTGATTCAATCCAAAGCTGTGGATCTGGAGGAAAAAGAGAAGTTGAGGTAAATGTGCCACTGAATGGTGTAAATGCTTCAGGTGAGGACGTGAAGTTAGAGTAAGGCTTTTGCTCTGACTTTACAGACAAGCTGAGATGTTTTGTTTCCAGATGGATAGCCACAAGAAATCAGGGGCATTTGTGTAGCATTTTAGTATTAAACTAATAAACTATTAGTTTATTATTAGTAGTTTAAATAACTATTAAACATATTTGAGCAAGGTTGTCATAAATTGCAAAACATTAATGGCAAAGGAACTGAAGGAAAGCTGCCTAAACGTCACCAGAACGCCTATGGAGCATTCAGTATTGGGTCCCCACTGAATCTGGAGAATAACTGCCATGCAGTAATAAATGGAGGATGAGATTTGGCTTTAGCATTTTGTACTTTGAAATCACTGAGGCAGCATTTCAGATCACCTTTAATACTTATTTCAAAGCATGAACACAGCACCAGCAAACCTGTAACACAAGAAGCCTGGGATGAGAGTGATGGTGGGTATGCTTCTTCCCCATTGCTTTCCTCAGGGTGGGCACATACTGCTTCTCCCTTTTTGCTGATCACTACTTCTTTAAGTACAGTTCAGCTCCATATAATAAAGTCTGTTTAGCATTGTAGAGTAGTTTGTTACTGAAGAGTAAAGGAGCACACATAGAACTTCAAGCTGAATGGGTTGTTGTTGTTGTAATTGTACTTTGGCTTGTGTTTTGCAGTATGCTCTGGAACGTCTGAAGGTGATGTGTGAGGATGCACTGTGCAGTAACCTGTCTGTGGAAAATGCAGCTGAGATCCTCATTCTGGCTGACCTACATAGTGCTGATCAACTGAAAACTCAAGCAGTGGACTTCATTAATTAGTAAGTTTATTCTTGTTTTGGCATGCAAGCACTCAGGAACAATTATGTGCAGAGGAGATTTCCCTCGTTTTCAGTTTTAGTTTTTGTTTTTTAAGGCTCTCCTATTGTGATCTTTCTTTCACCTGGCATTCCAGAGGTGCTGTTGCCCTAAGGGCTGATAAGTCTTGTGCTACTGGAACTGGTCAGTGTACAGTAGAGCTACCTCTGTGAGGTATTTTGGCTTTCTTCTTAAGGTCCTGAGAGCTCTTAGGTAGCAGTCGATCAGCTAGTCTCTATATTTAAGGACTATTGCAACTACTACTGCTACAGACCTGTTAGTAGGTAGTCACTGACAGCCATCTGATTTGATGTCCAGAAACATTTTAATTCTGTGTTAGTTAACACGATTTCTCTCAGTATTTTCTGTATTGCTTGAAATTGTTGCATGCTGAGGGGTCAGAGTAGATGAGCTTTGTGTTCCTACTGCCATCCTCTGGGGGTCGTGTCTGTTTGCAAGCCGAGGGACTGTCCAGCATACATTCTTACAGCAGTACACTAAAAATGCTGGGTATCTGAGGTGCGTGGAAAGCACCTGATGGTTATCCTTTTTGTCTCCAGTCAGTAACTTCGTCTTCATTTTCTTGTTTCTAGTCATGCTTCTGATGTCATGGAGACATCGGGCTGGAAGTCGATGGTAGTATCACACCCTCACTTGGTGGCTGAGGCGTATCGCTCTCTGGCCTCTGCACAGTGTCCCTTTCTGGGACCTCCACGTAAGCGACTGAAGCAATCCTAAAGTCCCATCTCTGGCAACACCACGTGTTTTTCTGGAAGCAGCATCAGCTGTTGCTGCTCAAACCTTGACCACCAGGTAGACAGCGAAATCTGTGGAGCTTATACTCTGTTGTTGGGGGGAAGAGACTGCTTCGTGACACCCAGACTTTTTAAAACAGCACCAAGTAACTTGGGGAGAGGGGGGAGGGTGGGCCTGGGGCTCTGGGGCTGTTCAACCTAATGAATCCCTGTCGCTGCATCGTCTGTGTGTTCCCTTCAACTTGGCTGAGTCAATTAAGTACAGGGTTCGGTTTAGGTGCCGATCCGTGTCAGAATAAACCCAGCAGTGGTACTGGGGAAAACAACATCTGCGTCTGGCAGCACAGAACAAACCATCAGATGCCTGGAGCAAGAGGACATTTTAGTTTTGGAGAGAGCGTTGCGAAGTTAAAAAGAATTTCCAGTGAGGTTCTGGAAAGGAAGTACCTGATGGGAGCTCCAGTAGTATTTATATCAAAAAAGAGAATTTAAGTCCTTCCAGCTGAGCTAAAAACTGGACGTTTGTGTAACTCCTTATTGCCATCCAGCAACAAGAAGATCAGTTTCTCTGTTAGTAGCACTTGTATGTTAATTGCAAAAAAAAAAAAGAAAAAAAAAAAAAAGAAAAACACCTTTTATAAAGTGACAGGTTGAAGTGAAAGGGGACTGAGAGACTGTTCTGGAGGATGTGAATAGACTGAAGGCAGCCTTTGGCAAGTCTGTATTGGTTTTGAAAGGACTAGAATATGCTTGATTTGGAGCGTGCTGTCTGATAAGAACAACGGTTACTGTTTTTAGATATTGTGGAAAATGTTTTTTGGCATTTTTCCCTGCTTTATTTCCCTCCTTCCCTCTTTTTTAAGAAAAAGAAGAAATTTTATTGTTCACGATCGCTGCGTCAGAAGTCCCTGTCCTGAGTTGCTAAATGATTCTTAACAACTGTTTGTACCTGACTTGCCGACTGTATAGGAGCCAGTCCTATTCCTTTCTATTAGTCACTCTTCTTACAAGGAAGAAGTTTCAAAATAGCTGTTAACTTTTTTTTTTTTTTTTTTTTTTGGAAAATATAAATAATTACTATTTTGTACTGCGTCGTATCTCTTGGTTTCTTTTTTTTTGCTTCAGTTTCAGCACTTCTCAGCTTAAAACCGGTTCCCAAAAGCACTTCCATTCTGCTGCCATGTCCTGTGCCACGTTAGTGCCGTGCAGCTCCTGGAACTCAAATGGGACTTCAGTAAGGAAGTCTGCACACAAATTTGCAATACAAAACTGTTTTATTTCTCATGTCTGGTCTGCGTTAACACCCACCAACGTTGGTTTTAATAGCAGCTGTGAAGCTAACTCATAGTCCAAACCTTCTACCTGGACTTAAATGTGGGAAGGGGGAGCGGTACAATAAGCCATCTGTTTTATGGCATTAACAAGCAGTGCAGGATGTCCTGGTAGGAAAGACACCATCCATTATGTCGTCATTAGTCCCAGATATCAGAGAGGTTAGGTTGAAATACGTGGTGTTATGGCAGTGGCAAATTGATCTGACCTTAAGGTGGTCAAGTAGGGCACGTAATGGATTACAGAGAGTAACTCTGTGTTGTCTAGAAAATAGATTAGATACCAGTTGTCTCTGACTCTTCATTCTGTTGTCATACTTCTCTTACAGCCTTTTGTCCCTTGTGAGAAGGAGAGCTCCGTTCATACGTCCACGTTTTAATCTAACTGCCATCTATTTTTATCTGATGGTGACTCATGAGAAGGTCCCTGCCCTTTTTTGAGTCCCCCACTGAGACCTTCATCATAAACGTACACAGCCATCTGTATAGTGAAGCCCTCCTTCTCCTTGGTTCACAAACTCCCATATTGCACCTTTTCCTTCAACTCTTCTAATTCCTTTTATATTGGATTCAATACGCATTCCCTTTTAGGTAAGCAAAGCACTTAGTCATTAGGAGATGCTCCCCACTACCCTGTCAGAACTCAGACCGGCGTTTCCAGCTTATAATTGCATGCAGACATGAAAAGTTCATTGCCAGGTAACTGCAGAAGTTATCTGTGTGCTTCAGTGATGTCTAATTACACCGCAGTAACTGCATTGTTTACTGAAAGGCTCAAACCTGCTGGAAGAGACCTTTTCTCCTCGTTGTGGCAGAATGACCAGCTGTTTGAGGAGTGTCCCTGGCGTAGCCTTTCCCTGAGAAGCAGACGTGCCTGGGAGGAAGTAAATGGGCCTTGACATTGTGTGCCCTCAGCCTTTTTGAGGGAGGTATTTATGGGCAGGCAATGCAGATTTGGAAGCCTGCTCTGGAGGATGGAGAGATACCTGCAGGAAAATAATCTGTTCAGAGGCTTCTCTGTCCCAGTCCTTCCTGCAGAGCCAGGTGCATTTTGAGAATACACTGTGAAGGGAGGTCTGAGATATAAGATATGTGGAGGATGCAACTTATCTCCAGTTGCAGGTGAATTAATGATTTATTGGTCAACTTTGCCTTTTTTGTTGTTTGGTTTTTTTGTTGTTGGTTTTTGTTTTTTAATTGTAAGAGATACAGCTGAAGCCATCTGGTTATAACAACATCAGAGATGGAGCATACTGTTCATAAACCTCCCACTGACATCCTCCCCTCCCCAGATCTGAAATGTAATTCAAGTTAACTCACAATCTGTGGCATGTGTTGTTACTGCAGAGATGTCCATGCCAGTTGAACAGTTGGAGATTTGAATTCCACAAGGAGATGGCATATTTATCAACACAGTGTTTCGGGGAGAGATTTTTGCTGGCTCTTCTGAACTGCAGCGCCGCTACCACAGGTCCAGATTGAGAATTTAGGCTGAGCCCTCCGTTTGTGCTTGTGATTCTTCCTCTTCCCCCTCCTCAAGGGTGTTACAGAGAGTCCTTTCATCCCTATGTGCTGCCTTTCATGTGCTTCCTTCTCCCTATTATCTCCTTGCTCCTGCTTCCTCTGCTTGCTTTTGTGCTGACCTACAAGGGTTGCAGCCTTCATCTGGGACTGGGGAAGAGAGACAAGAAGGAGAGCTGCCTCAATGACTCCCTTGACCTCCTCCAGCAGCAGTGGGATGTTCGGCTGCCCTACACCCAGAAGCAGTCAGCTTTCTCTGAGGATCCAGGCACCAAATATTTTTTACCTACCAGAAGATTTCTTTCTGGCTGCCCCTTGGGCTTTGTTATTACAGAGTCAGATTCTATTGAGGTATTTTTCTTATTGTGTGAGTTTTTCCAGATGAAAGGAAACAGCTTGTCTGCTTATGAGCAGAACAAACAGCAGAGTGGGGAGAGCTGCTGTGCTTTGAAACTCTCTCTGGCTTTGTTCTGGTTCCCAAACTGCTGTTAAGGACACAATGCCATCTCTCTCTTTTTTTTTTTATTTATTTATTTTTTATTTTGCACTTCCTTGAAGGAGCCAAAGAGCTGCTTTTTGGGTTTGTTTTTTTTTTAAACTTCATTTCTGAAGGCTTCTCAACTTCCATGCAATTTATTTTGCACAAGGTTTCGCTGAAATAATTCCCTCCAGTCAGCTCGGGCTGTGCAGTTTGTCCTTCTCTCAGGAATCCTCTCTGTGGAATTACTTAATTCACTTATTTTTAATGACTTGTTTGTTTGTTTATCTGCTAGGAAGACATTTAATCATACAAGGTGTCTCTTTTTTCCCTGACCTGCTGGCCGGTTGGATATTTGGCTGCAATTTTGGTCACATGCTGCAGCAAACAGAGCCTTTGGCAATCCCAGTGCCTTGCGTGTGCTTGGGTATTGGAGCAGGCGGGCAGCAGCTTGAATTGCACAGAAAACAGGCAAAAAAAGGGAGACAACAGGAGAAAAATGATAACCCAAGGGATTGCTGGGGTATGGATTGAGGAATGATTACAGTGACCTGCAAGGTCTTTAGAAAATATATGTAATAAAGCAGGAGTGGGTCAGCAGAGGAGCTGGCCTTTTAACCTGGTGGAGGTTCTTTGGGCAGGATGCAGTCAGCTCAAAGCTTGGCTCGTTTTCCTTAAGTTTAGGATTGGATTTTGCCTCTTGCTCCTACTTGATGCATTAGACTCTGTCACTGAGGCTGAATTATTAAAGTCGCTTGAGGAACTGCGTTAATTGATGGGGTAAGTTGGGAAGGGATGGAGAGAGGGTTGCAATTATTCCATCAGATTGTGAAAAATCACAGACAAGAGCGGTATGAAATGTAGGCCTCCTCTTTGAATAATTTAAAAACTTCAATGGCCACAAAAAAAAAGAGAAGCTGATGGTGGATGATGAACTGGGTGGGAACAGCCCTACAGGAGAGAAGTGGCACCCCGTGTTCTGATGGAGCATTTAATCTGGATGGGAAGGATGGGAAATTGGCTGCTGTGGAGCAGCGTTGGGGATGAGTGCCCTTGAACCACTCTGCTGACAACGCTTCTGAACCACAACTTGTGCAGCAAAGGGTAACGAAATGAAGAAATGAAACCCCTTTCAAACTGTAGATGTAGTGGCAAACACGGGGGTTATCCCTGAGCATTTGGAGCCATGGGCAAAGTGCTTGGCCAGGCTGAGTGTGCTGGAAGGCAGCATCTGTGCACGGAGGTCTGCAAAGCCTCTCTTTGCTGCACTGTGCGTAATATGAAGCAGCGTGAACCTTAAGATCATTGCATCTCCTAGCTGAGGTGTTTGGGTTTTTTTCCCCTCGTTTGCAGCTGTGTATTTTGAACTGATGGTGGGACAGCAAGGTTTTGGTTCTTTGATTTGTATGGAGAGTTCCACGCTGCTGGCTCTGTTGGTTGCTGCATTGCAGTTTGTGCCCTCGCTTCCTTTCTTTCCTGCTAACTTTTCTCGCTCCTCTAGGCAGGTGGTGCTGGCAGAATTATTGCTGATGGCTGAATTTTTGCCAACCAACAAAACGCTCGACACAAATAGCAGAACAGGATGTGGGGTTTGGTGGTGGTGGGAGCGCTGTGGCTGTGGCTCATGGGCAGCTCCATCTCTCGTTGGGTCTCACCCTTCTGCCCTACTGCATGGAGGCAGCAAACTTGGGTAAGATATACATAGGATTGTAGAATGGTTTGAAGGGACCCTAAATATCATCTGGTTTCACTCTCCCTGCCGTGGGAGGGAGAGCCCAGGGCCCATCCATAGTCATGGGCATCCCCAGCTCTGTGCAGCAGTGCCATGGCCTCACACCCTCTGTGCAAAGAAAATCCTATTCACATCCATCATCCCAGTATCTTTGTCAGCAGAGGGAAGTCTCAAAAGACGAGGCAGAAAGGGAGGCGTTTTGCACACAGCAAAATGTTTAAAGAAGCCTTTTCCTTAAGATCAGCACCCCAGCAATGGTTCCGTCCCATTGAAGGGCTGCCGGGGCTTCTAAAATGCCAAATTCTGCCAGCTTCTTATTACGGTGGCTGCTGTAGGATGAGGAGGTGGTGGGATTGATACATTGATGAGCAGTTTCCTCTTTAAGTCTTATTGTCTGTATGCTCATTGAAAGAAGCGTGGAGCTGCTGGAACGGCTTTAGGAATGGTGGGAGGGGAGCTTGGTACCTTGGTAAAAATAGTTGAGCTGTGTTTTGAAGCATCAATAACATGCACAAATATTTTCTCAGCTCTGTAGTTACTTTAAATACACGACGACGAACCAGCCCCAAACCTCAGACCTTTGGTGTTTTTTGGCTCTCAGTATCTTACCAGAATTGTTCTAGTTTTATAATAGCCAAGACTCAGAGCACAGCGTTGCCACTCTTAGGTCCCATCGTTGGCAGTCTCAGCAGAGAGCTGTGCCCAGAGTGGCTCTTTGTGTTTATTCCCCATTTGTCAGCAGGGGACACTTGGGGACACTTGCAGTGCCACTCCCTCTGCTCATTCTGTTCTTGGCAATGGACGTGTGGACAGGGAGCTGCCAAGAGGAGGTCAGGCCAGCACCTTGTTTTCAAAGGTTTATTGGATGTTGCAGGCGTGCTGTAATGTCACATCTTGTGGTCGGAGAGTTTTAAGCAATTTGAAGCTTGGCTTCCACCTGTTTTCTTTGTTTCAGTCCTGAAATAGAAAGAGAAGATGGCAAGAAAGCCAAACCCACCCTTTGGCTCCTAAAAATGTCAATGGGGAATTGTCTTC